AAGAAGAAGGAGGGAAAAAGAAGAAGAAGAAAAAGAAGGAGGAGGAGAGGGAAAAAAGAAGGAGGGAAAAAAGAAGAAAGAGATAGGAAAAAAGAAGAAGAAGGAGAGGGAAAAAAGAAGAAGGAGAGGGAAAAAAGAAGAAGAGGGAAAAAGAAGGAGAGGGAAAAAAGAAGAAGGAGAGGGAAAAAGAAGAAGGAGAGGGAAAAAGAAGAAGGAGAGGGAAAAAGAAGAAGGAGAGGGAAAAAGAAGGAGAGGGAAAAAGAAGGAGAGGGAAAAAGAAGAAGGAGAGGGAAAAAGAAGAAGAAGAAGAGGGAAAAAGAAGAAGGAGGAGGAGGAGAGGGAAAAGAAGAAGGGGGAGAGGGAAAAGAAGAAGGGGGAGAGGGAAAAGAAGAAGGGGGAGAGGGAAAAGAAGAAGAAGAAGGAGAGGGGAAAAAGAAAAAGAAGGAGAGGGGAAAAAGAAAAAGAAGGAGAGGGGAAAAAGAAGAAGAAGGAGAGGGGAAAAAGAAAAAGAAGAAGAAGGAGAGGGGAAAAAGAAAAAGAAGGAGAGGGGAAAAAGAAGAAGAAGAAGAAGAAGAAGAAGAAGGAGAGGGGAAAAAGAAAAAGAAGGAGAGGGGAAAAAGAAGAAGAAGAAGAAGAAGGAGAAGAAGGAGGAGGAGGAGGAGAGGGAAAAGGAGGAGAGGGAAAAGGAGGAGAGGAAGGAGGAGAGATAAGAAAGAGAGGAAGGAGAGAGAAGAAAGAGAGGAAGGAGGAGAGATAAGAAAGAGAGGAAGGAGGAGAGAGAAGAAAGAGAGGAAGGAGGAGAGAGAAGAAAGAGAGGAAGGAGGAGAGAGAAGAGAGGAAGGAGAGGAAGGAAGAGAGAAGAGAGGAAGGAGGAGAGAGAAGAGAGGAAGGAGAGGAAGGAGGAGAGAAGAGAGGAAGGAGAGGAAGGAGGAGAGGAAGGAGAGAGAAGGAAGACAGAAAGGAGGAGAGGGATGAGGGAGAAGGAGAGTGAGAAGGAGGAGGAGAGGAAGAGACATATTAAAAACTGTTTAGTAGCTGAACGTTTAAGAACGTTGAGTTTATTCATCGTTACTAAAGGACGTGAAGTTTGATCTGATGCTCCTAACGAGCACTTTCTGCAGACCCAGGCTAACAAAGACTAGTATGTAATTTGGAGCACTAGTATGTAATTTTCTTCCATTCAAATGTCATTGATAGTGCTAAAGTAACCCACTCAAAGGCCGCTTGTCCTCAAATAAAATTATCAATGGAAACTAGTAGAAACTCCATTCAAATCATCCAGCAAATTATTCACGCTTAGGATAATTTTGCTGGATGATATAAAGCATTTTCTCCTTGCAAGCCATTTCGAAAGACTGTTCTGCAAAACCCGATACCCTAATGGTACCAAAGAAGCGACTGAAGGCCTACCGTAACTTTTTTTTCCAAGTTGAATGTGCATTCTGCCAATCCATATGCTTCACTACGGAGGTGCGATAGTGATGTCTACAGACACGGAGCTTTAGCTTCCTTCGATAACTTTTTAAGAAATAGCAAAGGCACAGAAATGATTAAATACAATTATCCGCGATATAAACATACGATTTGCTGGACATATCAACAAGATATTTGTAGATGTGTCAACGAGATTTATTACAGCCTGTGTCTATTGCAAACGTTCAATCATCCACGGAGGAGAGTGAATCTTCACTTAAAGAACTGACGAGTGGAACCAAGACCATATTCGCTCACGCAGCACAGTATGAATACAAGCATTAAGAATGCTCTATCGAGAAAGGTTTTATTTTCCTGATTCGACAATTTCAAAGTACGGAAATCATAAATGGGACACCTACACATGGATTAATTTTGTCACTAGACAAATTAATACTTTACCAGCAGGGGACATCAAACTCTCTACGAAAAGCGATCCCCAGCGCGCTCACACGCACACACACATACATACACACCGTCAATTCGCGCTGTAGTCGCTGGACTATCTTCGGTCCAATGAAAGTTACGAAATGAGTAGTGTACGATATATGATAAAACAATTCAATGTTGCTTCCGTCCGTAGAAGTGTGACTATTTTGCCGGGTTGAATAGTTTTGCAAGTTTACAGTCGGAATCAGTGCCTCCTACATCAATGTAGGAGGCGTTGCCAGAATACATTATTGAATTCATGAAGACCAGCGACATAACCTAACCTTTTTAATGCAGGGGATGCTCATCGACAACTTCAAGAAATCGATAAAAAATCGTGGATTTAACTAAAATTCTGGGAATGTACTACCATTTAAATCGCACTTTCGATGCACCTCCCTCCTCTCCCACCCCCCAGGTCAAGCGCCGCAGCCGCCCGTGATCCCAAAGGAGACCGGTACGCGATGGAAGCAGAAAAGTCGGCCTCTGTCCACACGAGCCTCCCCGCTGCTAGGCGAACCGTAGTGGAAAAAGATGGGTGAGCTACTCTGGCGCACCTATTTTCGCTCGTCCTGCTCAGCACCAGTTCGCGTCACGACCCAAGTGGCCATAGCACGGGCACTTCGTTCGAAAAGCCAGACCAGACACTGACCGCCATGTTGCATGAAGAGCGAGAAGCTTTAAAAAACATTCTGCATGTGGCAACAAGTGACAATTGTCAATGGTGACCAACCAAACAACACGATGAAGGTATACAACATGCAACATTTAAAAGAAATGCTTCGTATATCTGTTTCAATTACTTGAAACAAGGTGATAATTTTGGTATCTGTCAGCATTTAAAATTCCAGCTAACATTGTGACGCAAACTGGTGTCTAAAGCTCACCGGCTGAAGCAGTCTACGATGCGCAATGGATCATCCATCATAGGGCCAACACTTACCTCGGCACTGGCCCCACATGTAGACGCGGAAGCTCTGCGTCATGGCGGCAGAGATGTGCGCGAGGTGTGTGGCGGCGACGTCGACGACGCGGCCCACGTTGGCGGCCACGAGCACGGGCGCGTTGGCGTTGGTTTTGGTGCCCGTGCCCAGCTGGCCGTAGCTGTTGGCGCCCCACGCGTACAGCGCGCCCACGTCCGTCAGCGCCAGCGTGTGCGCGTAGCCGCACGCCACGCGCGTCACCACCACGCCCGCCAGCGCGCCCACGCGGCACGGGTTCAGCTGGTTCACGTTGTTGCCCAGGCCCAGCTGCCCGTTGCCGTTGTAGCCCCAGCCGTATACCTGCCGCACACCACACACACACACACACGCTTGCATTTTGCGGCCTCAGGAAGCGCAGGACGCGATTCGAGAGCGTGGAAGGAAGAAGCTACAAAAGCTGCATATCCAGAAGGAAATCAAGGTACCATCTCAGCACTTGCTCAACGGATTATGCGGCACAGGTTGAACATCCTTATCGAGCCTTTACTTTAAATTCGATGCTGCTTCGTCGCCGCAACGCGTCTTTAAATCTTAGTTGGGCATTCAGTACCTAGAATAATTCTAGGTTAAGATTATTTAGGGGTGAGGGGTCAAGTCTCCTCGTCACAATTAGTCCGTGCCTTTGATCCCTTCGACTAGGGGCCCGGCTTGTTCGTTAGATGTAAATTCGTTAGATGTCGGATTCCTTCGCATTCGTGACTTCAAGCAGCGTAGTTAAGAAATTCGGCTGACGACACCAGACGATCACAAATCTTGAACTTGGCATTGGAAAAATCTACTAGTCTGGCTGACCGGAAAATCAATTATAGCGAAGAAAAAAGTAATGTCAATTACATTTTTTTTAACTGAAAGGTTAAACAATGGTATTAGATATTTCACTTCTCGTGTCAAAATGAAACTTCATACCACTCTTTACACGGAACAGCTGAACATACCCCAACGAACGTGTGAATTATTGCCAATTGTTGTCTGTTCCTGAAACCATAGAGAAATGCTTCTGAGAATTTTCATAGGGGAAAAGTAATAATTATATTTCTTTACCCAGTTTTATTTTAGACAGTTATACATTGTACGTTCAAAAACAAAAGGTTAATAAAAATCCATAATTTGGATTTGGAAATTTATTTTAAATGTATTAATTAAACTTTCTTAAGCATTACTATTTATTTACGTCAAAAATAGTTAAAAACTGTCTGTGACGTGCTATGGGGACAAGTTAATTTGAAGTTGCATGTATGTCCAGAAGCAAAACAAGGGGCCATCTCAGCATTTGCTCAATCAGGATGATGATGATGATGATGACGGTTTAAGGCGCTTCAACAGCTAAGGTCATTGGTGCCCGTGTCAATTTGTTCTCAAGAGCAATACGCACTGTAGCAGTGCCAGACTAAATCTTTTTTTTTTTCAACGTAAAATGTAAGTAAGAACATCAACATATTATTTAAATTATTTAAAAGAGCTGGCTAAAAAGAGCCAGATAAACACTTTAAAATCTCCCATTATATGCCAAATAATCGACATAATCATCTCGCAGATCGTGCTTCACGACTCCTTTACATAGGTTAAGAGTAGGGTGAGTGGTCACTTCCACCTGGAGGCCGGCAATCTGCTTAGTTTTGGAGATTCTTTCGATTTGCTCATCGGAGCGTGCTTCGAAGAGATTGGTACTACTCGCGCAACTTTTCTTGAACGACGGATTGAAGAAATGCGGGTAGAGTGGGGGTATTAGTTACGAAATCGGCCATTAGATTTTATAAAGCAATGCAAATCTCTGGAGAATCAGTCATGCCTTCGCAACTTTCTCAATAATTTGCGTTCTAATTTTCTTAAGAGTTCGAGGTATTTCCTGTGATGAATCTTCACCTGCTTTGGTCATTTATTTAAATTTTTTTGGAGAAGAAGTTCTCATCTTCAACAGAAAATAGTTTATATTCTGCGCCTGTGAAGATGTATTTGTAATATCAGTGCACGCTGCGAGCTTTTGTCTTCAACTGTTTATTGTGTCATAGAGGGGAAAGCAAGGTCATCGTTCAAGAAAAGTTGCGCGAGTAATACCATTCCTCTGGTAGCATCGCTCGCGCGAGACCAACTGCACTAGTACTTTTAAATGTCTTCCCTTCTTCCGTGCACGCCATCAAAAGGAAACGCGGCTTCGTTGGTTTATCTTCTTCCCTAAGGAAGAAACTACCCAAATCCACCGTTTTCTCGAAACATCGCCTCTTCCTTCCGGAAGAGAGCAAGGGGTTTGTTTTATGCTCCACAGAATTGAAGCCGATTCGTCTCCCCACCTACTATGGAGTCCAACAAGGGGGCAATCCACTGTGGTGCCAGGATTGACACGAAGATATCACAGACATGCCACGCCGTGGATCACCCTGGAGTTTAGTACAAGACCTAGTGCGAGCCGATTGATCGGGAGTGGGTTAGCTCCCGAGCGCCCGTCTAGAAGAGTCCGTCCAAAGCAAGTGCGTTGGAAACCTACAAGTAACGTTCCCCAAAAAACGTACACAACGCATCCTTAGATGCAATGCAGAAAGTAGCACAAGGAGTAGTTGGGAAACAAACAGGTCCCACAACTGCCAGGTGTGACGTAGTGAAATGAGAAATAAATTCAATTAACAAAATAAAAATAGTATATTAAAAGGATTATAAACAGTTACAATCATTGCCTAATTTTTAAACACTCTCGGCAACCTTTTCCTCTCAGTACTCTGCTTAATACCGACAGAAAAATAAAAGCCACGCGTGATGAGAGCTGCTCGGACTTCCGTCCGTGACAAATTAACCAGTCACATGGCCTGACCAAAATTTAAAACCGCGTCGTTGGCGACCGTGTGCGCTACAGCACGCCGAGATCGTCTGGCCGTTACTCTCCGGACATCTCGCCACACTCCATACACTCCTATGCTACTTACACGTACAACGCCTCTCCGATGTAAAACTGAATGAGAAACGGAGCGGCAATAGTCGCCGCGTTTAATGTTGAGACTGACCCGCCCGCCCCCACCACCACCACTGTTTCCATAGATGGCTCGCTTGCTACGTCCTGTTGTCGGCTAAGCCAGCAGAGCTTCGCTGGCTACGCGTGCTGGGAGGAATTACGCCCCCACATACGCAAGATTCCCAGTTGCTCGCCTGCTGTCGGTAGCGAGGGCTCGCTGGCTAGCATCCTAGGAGTTTACTGCCTAAGGTTATTTTTTTGGCTCCGCAGCTCTTAACTTGAGTCAACCCGGCCAGAGCGCTAAATCCAGGAAGTTCAGCTCAACCCCTTCCTCCCCCCGCCAGCCGCACTTTCACCGGACCTAACGGTTCGGCCTCTCGTCGGTTAACTGACGCCACACAGGGACACAACCTTTCCCTCCGACGCGGGTCGCCAGGCACGTGCAAACACACTCGAGTGGTGCGTTTCTGCAATTCAGAGGGCCAGTGACATAGAAGAAAAGAGACAGGATGTTATAAAAGAACGCGAATGAACGATGGGGGAAGATCAAGATGATTGGTGAGAGAGAGGAATACTTGCGAGCCTTCCCTGCATCCCCCCGTCAGAACGTGAACCGACCGACATCGACGGGTCAAGGATCAGGGAAACTGGACGAAAACCACCTGATCGAGATGATGGACATTAACCCAGAAGATGAAGTACAATACTTGTTACAGGTTCTTTAGAATTATACAATTCAAATATTACACTAAATGGCATTGTTAAAATTAATATTACTTTCCTTTTGGGTGCTGAGTATAGTCTCTAATTATATAGAAACAGATGTACAGCAGAAAAGATTTTACTGAGGACTTAAACTTTTGATCCAATTCAAAATTTTCTCAAAAGACTCCAAATTTTGTCTTCATAATTTTTGTACCGATACTCGTACATGCACTGAATAAGTTAACAGAAAAGCTAACTTGGTGATTTTTCTTTCAAAAATTACACGAATGTAATTCTTTTAAACCTCGTCGTTAATATTTACGAGTACATTACCAGCGTTTTGTATACATTATTCCAAGCCTTCAATGGAAATAAGCGCGAAAATCCGCATTTTCAGAAACGACTGAACAACTTTTTCTTAAAAAGAGTTGCACTTTTTTCTGCAATTTTTTGCTGTATTTTTTATCGATAGTGCTAATTACACTGAATAACATGTCATAAATATAATTTTCATGTATTCTTTTGTTATTTTTTTATAAAGCAATCGTGAGTTTGTTTTTCAATATCTCTCAACGCAATATTTTTACACTACTATTTTTTAACTTCTTTTATGAGTTCTAGGGTTGAATATAGGTGAAACGTATTTTTTTTCTTTTTTTCTAATCCCACCCCTTTCATAAATATTACCATTTACTTTTCCCGAAGAATCATGCGTGCGCTGTTTAATTTTTTTGCGAAAATGCCGTTTCATTCACAAAAATAATATTACACTTAAATTTAACTTTAAAATATGTACTTCATGAGATGTTACGTTGTTCTGTGAAGTTAGAAACCACAGATGGACTTACAATAATATCAATAGTATTTCTATTTACATTTTCTTAAAAAGAAAATCAAATATTGCACAACATGTGTACGTTTAGATTATTACAACCAGCACTCATGAGAAGTTGAAAATTTACTGTTTGCCGTAAAAAAAAGTTATATTATTGGAAAAACTAGTTTTCAAAATTCTTTCTCGTGAAGAGTCAAGTGAAGTTTTTCAAGAAAGTGAGAATTGTCCATACGTATTAATGCCGCAAATAAGTTGGGCAGTGACCATGATGAATGACGCGCACTGCGGATCAAGGTCACCCTAACATATCACCTGATGCGAGTAATTGACCTGACCGAGTAAGTTCGTCAAGCGTTTCTTCTGCTGTCTTCACTCATCGTTTACGGCGTTCTCCTCTCTTCACGAAACAAAAATAAAATTTGACGCTAGGAATTTGTAATTTTGTCCAATGTGATTTTTTTTTTAGAAAATTTATCTTACTTGAAGATGTAATTCAGTGTCCGTTGTGAATTAATACCATGGCTACTCATCCATTTGTGCTTATTTCAGAGAAAGCAAAAAAATTTAAATAAGATTTTTTTTTCTGAATCACTGAATCACGACACGAATTCAATTCACTATTGACGGCGTAAACTCAACATATCTCGAGTAAGTTTATGACAGTGTTAACAGTAGGGATGCGACATGTCGATGTTTCCAAACCATCGATGTATTAACTGCATGTTTTATTAACAGCGATGTTTTTGTGACCTGTTTTTCTCCCTTTGTCCGATGTTTTGTTTCTGAATGAAAAATGAACGCATGATCCAATTACTATAGAAAGTTAAAATATGAAATAACTTGATAGTAACACTGTTATTCATGTATTGGACCTAAAGGGATGCCGGTTGCACTGCCTACAACGACCAAAATGTCTAGCCCAAGATGATCTCTGTGCCGTTGTATTTCCTCTTCATATTCACTTTGCACACAGATATGGTCAATGAGTACGCTGTGGGCGTAGGGTCGGTCCCTTCTTATCATACTCTTATTTGGCAAATTCATAAACACTAACTCTGTCAAATTAAATTTTATTGTACATGGATTTAATGTTAGAGGATATTAATTGAGTCTAGAAAACATCGATGTTCAAAAATATAGTTTTTCGTCGATGTATTTTTAACATTGATGTTTTTAACATTGATGTTTTAATTTTGAACACCGATGTTTTGTTGTCGACGTCGAATCACTAGTTAAAAGACATTTTTTGGATGGGGTCAGTGCCTAGTATTACAAAATAATGTGAATTTATGGTTCCGAAAAATGTATTCAATGTGAGAGCTGAATGGAATTTCTTCGTTTCGTAACTTTTAGGGAAAATGAGATGAGGAGGGGGGCAACTATAATATTCTTAATAAAAGCTAGCCGATAGGAAACTTAATTTACCCAGAAAGTTATTAAAGTGGATTCATGATAATGTGAAGAACATTACCTGTATATTTTTAGCAACAGTGAATCTTTAGACAGAGGACTATTGCATCAATGATATAATAAACAGTAGAAGTAACAAAGAAAATACATAGTTTCATTTCTTTATGAAAAGATCAATTAACTGTATTTTCTGTAAAGTGAAATAAAAGAACTATCAATTTAATTGTATCACATACCCTTATTCGTATAAATATTCCGTCCGTTTAATACTAAATTTGACATTCCGTTTGACACTTTTTAATTTGAATTTAATCTGCTATGGTCATATATACATATCTCGCACGTAGGAAGATGTAAAGGGATACTTCTGTTTATTACTCAGTGAAATTATATTGATGGTAATCGTCCACTGCTGATAGGCACGTGTTTGAGGGGTGACGCTATAGCAGATGCGGCAGCAAAACAGCACGTAGACATTTCAATTGCATTTAATTTCTCTTCTCGGTGTCCCACTTTGTAAATTACCACACGTGTGTAAAACTATTTAGAGATTACAATAGTATTTTTTTAAAATTTTTGGACTGTCGATTTTTTGGAAAAATTAATAAAATAAAAATAAAATAGGTCAAAAAAATCATTATTTAAATGTATCAAAATATTATTATTTTTTAATTAAATGACTTTAATGCATACATCAAATAAAAGAGCATATTTTGTTCTTTAAAGTCGCAAAATTATTAAATTTCTGTTACAATTACAACACGAGTCAAAAATGATTAACTTTAGCGATGCGAGCATTTTATAGAACATTTTGAAAATTAATATAATCACGAAAAACAATATTTGGGAAAAAACGAAAAACGTGTGTTTCATATTTTTCCTTACACTCTTCACAGAAAATAAAGTTCAAAACGCAACGTCAAATTTGCCTTAAATTTGTGCGATTTGACGTGGAATGACCCTTATATATAATTATCTACATACACAGGTCTTCATTTTATCTCGCAAACCATGACTGGGACACCTACTTCAGACTTCCCTCTATGATATTCTCGGAGAATTCTAATGTTTTTCATGTTTTCAATACACATGCCATAGGCGAAAATTGTGAATTTGCATACTTTCTTCAGGTATTTACATGACTCGTTACAATTTAACTGACGATAATTAAACCTAATTTTGTAATGAAACAAAAATGTTAACTAGTATTGGAATCTATGTTTATTCACTAACTTTCTACGCCCGAAAACTAATGAGCCGGGCAACTGTAATATGTTGTAAATTTAGTTTTATTATAATCTTTCAAAGCTCTAATAAAACCTTTTAACATGAAAATACCCGCCGGAGGCGACTGGCTAAGCAAACGATAAGTATTTTAGAACCACCTGGTGGATGGGTAAATTGGCAACCTAAGCACGATTTCTGATTTCGGATCCTATCTAAATGTGAATTCACTGCAGAGAGTAGAAATCCAACTATGTTCAATTCCTATTACCACATATTACATTACAACTGTCAAATAACCTGTGGAATCTGCTTATTGCAATGGCAATTGAGAAGCCTTCGGCGGACAGAAAAATAAAACTATAAAAAGTAAAAATTATATCAGAAAACATGCTACGACCAATGTAAGTGGTTAGGGAATGGCATCTTGAGTAGCATGTGAAGACTTTTGGAAATGCCTCGGTTTCAAACAACCCAGTAAGAAGAAACACTATCTGCGTGATTCGGGCGCACTTTACAATAGCCATGATTTCATGGGTATAGATATTTCATGTAAGCAGGTTCAACGCTGACCACTTTTGAAATGATAATTACATGATGACCGTTACCCGTATCCACAGAATGACGATTTTTTTAGGAACGGATAATTGGAAACATACAAGTTCACTGTACGTTGTAATATATTTACTTCGCCTTTTTTACGTACTTGGAATTCCTGTTAATTTATTTACTACAATACACTAAAAATATACACGCACGTTTTTTTGAACTCTTGAATACCCCCCCACACACACACACACACACACATACATAGTTGAATTATGAATAAAATATAGCAACGAGCAATGTTAACATTTCATAACAAGAAATTGTATCTTTCAATTAAAAGAATATACGCTTATACGAATCAAAACTAGCATAATTGTTGATTTATTAGTACTGCACCACTGATGACAAAATCTCCTACTCCTGCCGCATCTAGTGAAATGAAGTTATTGGAAAACGTGCGCGGATTAGTCTTTTCGAGACGCATTAACGTTTTCTTTACCGGCCTCACATTGCCCAACCGTTTCGTAAATTAAAAAGAAATATTAAACTTAAAACAGATTTTGCTGCTCTATGTATTGTCACGAAGTTTGACAAAAAAAAAACAGATTTTCACTATGAAAACATCACACACAATTAATGGACGATTGTCGAAAGCGCCAAATTTAAATCTTCCATTAGCTTGCACACTAATCTGAATTAATTTTGGAAATCTCGTCAGAGGTCAGATATGTTATTCATTGACACCTAAGGTTATTACTGGTGAAAGTGTCAATTGGAAACAAAACGTATGCTTTAAGTTTGCTTCCAAATGTCGCAAATTACTCACCTCTCCAGTGTCTGTGACAGCAATAGAAGAGGTCTGACCACATGCTATAGTAATGCATCTCCTTGCACTAAGAACTGAATTGACCCTGCGTGGCAAACTTTGGTTAGCACTCATCCCTGAGCCAACTTGACCACAATTGTTCTGGCCCCAGGCATAAACCTAGAGCAAAAGAACTAAATCAGTACTTGTATGCATGAAAATATTTCTCTTTATTACAGCTCCTTACCTCACCATCATCTGTCAGAGCTAATGAATGATGGCTTCCACAAGCTACTTCAACTACTACTTTCCCAGTCAACATTGACTGCACAAGAGATGGAACCCAGCACTGATTAGAAGAGCCGTTGCCTAATTCACAATAACCATTATGCCCCCAAGTATAAAGATCACCATCTTCAGTATAAGCAAGAACATGGGGTCCACTCCCATAAGCAAAACCTAAAACATGTATTCCATAATGATAAAGTTAAACAACAAGATTGCAATCTAGTAAATACATGATACCCACCTGCAATTTGTTTTCCGCAAAGAGCATCCACTCGAAGTGGAACCAACGTGCTATTTAAATTTCCCAAACCCAAACATCCTGCAGCATTTGAACCTAATGCTAGAACTTCATCATCTTTTGTGACAATAAGGGCTTCATTTCCAAGATTTCCTGCCAATAAAAAATTATAAAAATTACATACCCACATTATCACACTAAGAACTTAATTTGCAAATAGGCTTACCAAATACACAAGCCATTTTGATCTTTGCAACAAATTCTGGTTCCAGCAGACTAAATATTGTCCAGTTTTTGAGATCCATTGTATATTCTCCCTTATAAGCCTGGCATAAAAACAACAAAATTACAGAGAGGCGATATTAAAGAGAGTAAATATTGAATATTATAATGTCAAACGACCAAACATGGTGTGTAAAAGTTGTCAGTTTTTACACAAATTATAAGAAGACTTCACGCATGGTGTTACGAACTACACACACCGAGAACGATTTCACCATCGGGTGGGGTAAAAGCAGCACAAAATGTGTCGGAAACGCACAGATCATAAAGCACGTAACCTCGGATGAGCGATGACAGTTCGCTAGTATGAAACGAGTAAAAGCAAGTAGATTAAACTACTCTTTCCTTTAATATAAAGTACGCATTCTTAATTAACATACTGCAATAGCTTTGTCATTTCGTGACTGGCTACTACACGAAACTTTTTCGCTCATATGTACTGATAAGGGTAGTTTTATCAAAAATGAGAGAATTCCATGATACATTGAGAGATTCTGGCGACAACTACAGAAAGGTACTTGCGATGTGACAACAGAGGCAAGAAGAGGCAACAGCTGGCACCGGCCGTCACGCCGACTAGTAGTGTTGTGTTGTCAAATATACTTCAGGTAGATTTCAGCGATTTTTGAACTGATTTACATGAAAAGAACTTGTATCAGCACTGAAGATATTTACCTCATTTATAAATTGGCAGACGAGTCTGATTTTCTTATACGGCAATATTGCAACTTTCATCGTAACCTCTATTCGTACGTGACAACTGTGGCCCAATTTTCAGGCGTCATGAATCTGGATTTTTACGCTGTTTGGAATATTTGCTTCATACTATTCTTTGTCTTCGTATTTTATTACCTATTCTTTTCATGATTTATCTTTGTATTTGCTGATTTTTTGTCTAATATGAAAATGTGCCTTATATCTATATTTTGCTTTTGAATCCAAAGTGTGCCTATAATTATTGTATTATTGCCAGCAATATAACAATAATCATTATGTATCCAGGGTTATGAGAACTATACATATATTGTATCCTAACAGTTTGTAAAGTTTCAAGGAAAATTTAAAATGTTCATAACCTATGTTAGTAACCACTGTCTGTAGAAAAGGAACTTGTAATGGGTGTCAGACAGTTATAATTTTGAAATATTATATACCATGGTTTACAAACGGTGTTTGTTAATTATATGCTTCACAAGTTTAATATAAAAGATAAAAAACAATTACTGTTAATATTTTTATTGTATCTTATCAACAGTAAATGTAGCTGCCCTAAAAAAGACATCAGAAAATGCAGTATAGTCATTAGCTAAAATATAAATGTATATCTAAAATATGCAAAATATCTTTGAGAAACTTAAACAATCAACATAACAAGGATAGAAAAGCATTTAAATGAAAAGGAAGTACACTCGAGCACAAAACTGCAAAGTACTTGTGAACCTTTCATTTTCTTTATAAAATCAATCACATGATAAAATGCATAGTACTGATTTAATGCAAATAATATTAGTAGCTTTAGGACGAAATCCCTGCCAAACTACTCTACAATGTTATATAAAGATACCAAATCAACAGATCTGGAAATGTAACATACACTAGTATTTTCAGAAAATCACAATATTACTACCTTTGTACTGAACATTAATTTTTTCATAGATTGACAAGACTGCAATAGCCAGGGTAGTTATCCATTTCTTACGTACGTTTGGCAAGGGTAAAGCATAGTAGTAACTACAAAATACAAATAAGCAATGTTTAATGCAGTCAATGAATTGTGGAGAGACTCATACTCCATCACTGAGTCAATTTTATTCACAACCTGAGAGCTTTTCTCCACAGCACAGGGTCTACCCATGGCTATAGTCAATAAAATGAATTGAGGTAGGGTCACATGATTTGTGACATATATTTCAATGGAGTTCAGAAGAGAGTTAAGCCATATAAGTGAGTTTGAAGAAAAGTGGAAATAAAATTGTGATCATTGTCTCAAAAAACATTAAATTTCCTTTATTTTAATTATGTAATAAGATTTGTAATGTAGATTGTAGATTTTGTCACATACAACACCCTAAGTGGTCAAACTCTGCTTTCACAATAATGGGATATCTCCCTTTGAACACCATTGAATTAGACTCATATTCACCAGCAGCAGCCACCACCATTATTTTTCCACAAAGTTCTTTTATTAGGACAACAAATAGTACAGCTTTCCTACAGTGTAACTCACAACTTCCATTTTAAGCATTTTTTTTTATAAAGTCAACAAAAAGTTATTCGACTTAAAATGTATTCCTTATCCAAAAGTTTCTGAGTTGGTGTGTAATGGAATATGAACGCACAAGCATTTCCTATAGAGAAAAAGATCAGGAAAGTAATTACCAGTAGAAATAACTGGAGTGCACTAAACATGATTTCATTAATTATTTATTCTTGTATTTATTAAAAGTATTCAGAAGAAAGGTGGTAAGAATTGTCTGAAGACAATAGTTATATATTCTTTACTGGTTCAGAATATCAATGTGAGGGCACAGTTAATAATCTGCAAAGTGAACTTCAAAAACCCAACTCTGATTAGGCTTATCTAAAATACAAAGATTATATTGAATGATTCATAAAAATATCACTAGATAAATTTGAAAATATTAGAAGTAACATTATGGGAAAGTGAGAAGAAAACTGTAAGAAAGCTGTAAAATAATGAGAACTTAACTCCACATGAAAATATTATTGTGATAACACTGTGATGAAAATATACATACAAACTTAGAGTTTACATTACATTAGCACTAATTGCCAATCATATGAATGTGGTTGAAAAGAAAACAGGAATACATTTCCAAATGCATCAAAAATAATCATTTCATTACAAGACTAAAATATAAGAGATAAATAAAGATGTCTATGTATTAAAACATAAGGTTATTGGAATCAACTTTATACTAATGCATAAAATATAAAAAAGCTCATGAATATTCCTCTACATAAAATAAATCATATTTTTACTAATAAAAAAAATATATAAATATACAATTATATACTCTTCAAGGTTTATAGAAACACATATGTTTAATATCATTTAAAAGAACCACATGCTTTTCTTTATTTTCTCAAATTATATCATATATACTCTAATAGATTCCAAATGAAAGTGCAAATTGGAAAAACATCAACTATTTCCAACAGACATTCCTTACAGTGAAGGAACCAGACAAGGAGTATATAAAGAATACAATTCAATTCTATTCACACCAAAGAAACAGCTTTTGACCACTAAAAAATACTTCTAAAAATGCAGGTAATAAGAACCTTGATATAGTCTTTATATAGTATGAAATTTGTGATATTTGAATTTCAGTTATATGATACATTAGGTACCAAGTTTGCTGCTGCAGGTAAAAACATCAAAACAAGATACTATGGAAAAAAACAACAACAAAAAACTATTCAAAACAAAAGAGAATCAAGAAGAAAAGCTGAATGGACATGTACACTTTCTTCAATAGTACCAATCTCTCTATCAATAGAATTTGCATCACGTGTAAATGATGCTGCAACATTATCACTAAAACTAATACTATAATGCAAAATTTTGCCCACTCTGGCAGTGTTCTGGGAATTCAATGCCCTTGAGATACTATAAATGCTCACGTGCTCCCTAACAGTGAGCATTCCATTGTAAACTTCTTATGCATAAAGTTCAAGTCTTTACAAATCAATGCAAAACAGAAAGCAAATAAGTCTAGCAGTTATCATCTCTTCACATTAACCACATAGTCAAACAGTTGTAACACTTACTGTCATCTTCCTAGGAGTAACACAATACCACAGTTTTGTTATGAAAATAAAAAAAAATTCAATTATTATTAATACCATGATAAGGATAAAACAAATGGTAATATCCTTCAATCACACATGCAACCATGCATACCTTCAAACAAAAAAGTACTTTATCTCTCGTTTGTTTCCCTCAAGCACAGTCATGTCTTTTTTCACATACTTATTGGCTGTTATGTTAGTGCTAGTTGCTTGCATCAGCCCCAAACATGTTGAGGCGAGTGGCTGGTGCCAAGGCATGGGGGTTACTCATGTGATGTGGATGACTTCCTAGAGAAGGGTGCCCACCTGCCAAACAGGATGAAAGCACTCCTCGCCCTGGGCCGCTTAGCCCAGCCCCAAGAGCCGACATCTCTGACAACAACCGATGCTGATCAGTATCCACATGGGCATCAGGGCCTTTACCAAACAGGACATGATGCCAAACAGGCTGCTGTTGAGGTTGGGGAGCCTGCTGTGGTTGTGGCGGCTGCGGATGATGGTGTTGTGGTGGTTGCTGTTGCTGATGGTGGTGATGGTGATCAGGTGGTACTGGTACGTGATTAGCACCTGGCACGAGTGGTGGAGGATGACCAACGCCAGAGGCAGGCACGGGTTGGTGTTGCTGACCAGGAAGAGATTGGGCATGAGACACACCTGCTGGAGCACCTGTGTGGGGATGAGGCTGACCAGTCTGGAAAGAAGTGGGGCCACCAAGTTCAGTAGTGATAAGGTGCCCCACCCACTTGCGACTGTCATCCGTGTCACTTATCTTGTTGTGGCTTAATGCTAAATGGTCTTCAAGTTTGGGCCGTCTATCAAAGCCAGCACCACACAATTGACACCTAGGAATGAAGCACAGTGCAATTAATTAGATTTTTTTGAAATCTCTTTACACAAATTCAGAGCCGTTTGAGGTAATGTGAACAAAAAAAATTACAAGGAAAGATGTTAACAAGAAGATATTATAGCATAGAAACAAGAAACAGTGTTGTGTTGTTTGTTTATTTTTGTCTCATAAAAGCCAGAAAAGTCTAATTTTTCCATATTTGGGCCCACAGTGTATTTATTATAAAATATTGGCACTTTTTCTTGCAGTGATACAATATTTTTTATATACGATAAATATGAAAAAGTAAAACTATTAGAACTTTATAACATTAAAAATAAGACTAATATGAAACAAATACCAATATTAAAACTCACTTGTGCAACTTCTTAGATGAGTCACGAGCAGAACCATGGCCCAGAGGGTCATGCACACGAGTGTGAGCCACCAGATTATACCGTTCTGCAAAGCGTTTACCACAAGTGGTACACTGGTATGGACGTTCTCCAGTATGAACACGAGAGTGGCGTTTCAGATGAGATCCTGAGAGGAGTGCCAGTCCACACACTTGGCACTTGTAGCTCTTTTGCCCTGTGTGTGCCAGAGTGTGCATGTTAAAGCTTGTATGATGCACGAAGCGTTTTCCACAGAGCTCGCACTGCAAATTAAATGAAAGTTTTAACACATCTAACATAAATGTTTTCTCACATTAGCAATGCAAAGGTATTCAAATACTTTATATCCATAAATGCTGAATTGGTTACAGTAATCAAAAGACAACCTACCACTTTTTTCAATATGATAAAACATTACTCAATTATGTTATAATAAACTAATATTTTCAAACTCATATTTTATTCTATACATGTATTTTAGAGCAAGAACTGGGAACAATTCAAAATAAAAATAATTTATGGCAGCCATGATGAATTTTGATACAAGTTTACAGAAAATGAAAAAGAGATGAGACCATTACAAGCAAGAGGCAGGTCACTTTGTTTTTTACATAAAAGAATTAATAAACACTATCAAAAATGCCTATTTCAAAAGTAATGGTACCTTCTAAAATATCTAATACACAGAACCCATAATTATCTCATTTTAAGGAAAAAATTGTCACAATGTAAATACTACTTAAAAACGGCTTAAGTAGAAGTATAATAATAAATCAATTTACAAAACAACAAGTTAAAGGCAATTTATTAAAATGCAAACCCATTACTTCAAATATATCCAAATTGGTAACATATAAAAAGGAAGCAATTAATTATTTTAACTAGTTATTTTTCAAAAAGGACCAAACGTTTTTGGCTGAAAGGTGGAATATTTGTACAGATATATAATGCTATCTTTACAGAAACATGGTTTTATTCTTCCTGATCCATAAACAAAAAAATTTTTGTTTGTTAGAACATAGCAAATTATCATGACATTTAGAACTACAATTTTTCTTGAAGTTCTCTTGAATTCTTGATCTTCAGTAATTGACAATTTCCTCAACAAACCAACATAAAAAGGGTGATAATGACATCAGCAACTTCCTGTTGAGAAATTGAATTTTCTTCACAATTGACAAACTGGATCCTTGAATACTTTTAACCAGTCTCGTATATCTCGCCATCACCGACCACCTGCAGAACAATTCTAACAATATTCTTGGAGTCATTTCTACCCCTATCAACATCAGGAAATCTTAACTTTTACAGTAAGTCTGATCTTGCCTCTTGGAAATTTTGATTCAGACACTAGTTTCATCTTATTTGCTTGACCCTGTAATGCATCTTTGGATTTTTCTCTTATTTTCCTTAATATTGGGAATTTTTACAGAAATATCCACAATAGCATTGTTTCAATCCATTGCTGACCATCTTCTTTAACACCATTCTCTGCCTAATTGCCTTCATTTCCTACCTAATGAGGTGTCGATTAAGGTTTCCAAATCTTCAGATTAGATTCCAGGCTTCCAATGATAACAGTACAAAGAGATGAAGTTGTTAGGTCAATTTATGTGGGAAACACAAACATGCCTTTATATGAATAACAATTAATACTTTCATTCTAAGTTCTGTTCTTCGTGAATTGTTCAAGTCTCAGGCCTTCAGACCAGTGAGGAATTTTTCCAAGCATAATTCAAAGGTCCTGATTTGTACGATTCACAGATCCTTGCAATTGAGTATATCTCAGCTTCCCTTGAACTATTTTCAATTCATTTCATATTACACAAGTTTCTTGAGTCTCTCAATTGGAGAATTCATAACCTCTGTCACTATGCAGTAAGCTAGGACTGTCAAAAATTGTGAAAAATATCAGAGAGATTATTACAATTTCATCTGTTCTTTCACTTTTTAAGATTACAATTGTATACATTTTGTAACATGATTCTAACATACCAGAATTAATTTATGGCAGGCTGACTTCATGTTAATTTAACTGTCCCAAATTCATCTTCATAAAAATTATAGGACAAACTACAAGTCCTTTTTCTAGCACTTTTGATTTTATTTTTTTTCACAGAATGTCAGGTACATTTTGACTTGTCTATGTACTTTCAGTCATATTTTTATACTTTTGCACCCCTTTTAAAGTTACAGTTTTTCCTTAATGCCCAATTGCCAGGTGTAGCTTATAAATTATGAAAATCTGGCACATAATGAAGAACTGATGACACATCACCCACCAGGTATAATCACTATTCACTATCAAGCAACTTGATTATGTCATAAAGCTTCAATTTTTGTTTTTTCCTCACTGATTTTCAACACTCATATTTTTTCAACGACATTCTCATAGCCTTCTTTACTCTCATTCCAGTATTCCCCTTTGTCTGCTCAAAATTATTCAATAAGTTTTCATTAAAATAATCTTCCATTGTGTTAAAAGGTCTTGTATCTATATCAAGGCAAAACAAGATATTCCCACTTAATCAACACAGGGAATCGACAGTAGAGTAATATTGCATTTTGACACTACATGCCCCTGAAATAGATACAGACTCGGATAAATGTGAGATATATCTTACAAACCAGAGGGTGATGAATATTATTCATATGATGTTACTGTAATTAAAACTTTAATACTTTAAGTATCGAACTAACCAGAAATGCTGGTTAAAATGTTTAAAACTGTCACTAAATACTTTTGGAGGAAAGAGATATTTTTAAAGTTTTCCCGTAGCCTATATTTCAATCCACTTCACTCAAAGCTTCATTCGTCACAGTTTATTTAAAGTACATACCAACCAAACATAAGGAAAAACTTTCTAAACCTCCCAAAATATATATATTTTTTGAAAAGCTTATTTTTTTAATATTCTATCACTGTATTCTCACATTTTTTATAATTTTAGTTGCAAGTTTTACAAACTTTATTGAAATTAATTACGTAAACCAAGATCTCTAGGGTAAACTGATATGCCCAATATTTATATTTTAAAGAATTTCAAATAATAATGTATGTCAAATCAATCTTATGCATATCCAAATAATGTTCTCAAAAATATCAAATATGTCCAATTAGTTACTACAGACTCAATGCAACAGGAATCTACAAGACATAGCAACTTATGCATGAATAACACACAATGATTTCCATTAACATCAAGTCAAATTCTAGAGAAAAACAAACGAAATTGTTTTTGTTATATCTTATAATATGAAGTGTATCAGCAAGGTTTTATTTTAGTTCATGAAAAGTTCCATAAATCCTATTGTGTCTGCTAAAACTCTCAATTGTGTTCAAATTATTATGAATTTTGTGGTGACCAATAGTTGCAAGGAATGTCAATATTTATAACTTTTTTTAAAAAAACAAACTAACCTGAAAAGGTGCCTCCCCTGTGTGGATGGGCATGTGACGTTGCAGTGCTCCTTTCTGAGTAAAAGCTTTGTTACAGTAGGGGCAGCAGAATGGGTTAATACCATTATGCATGCCCACATGAATGTCCAGTGCAGCTTTGTGTTTATATGCTTGGCCACAAATCTCACAAATATATGGACGTTCATCACTGTGAGTGTTTACATGTGACTTGAACTCACTCATGGTACGCCACATCTTGCCACATATAGGACATTTATGTTTTGGCACCTTTGGTAATGGATCACGTTTCTTTCGTTTGCGCTTCTTACGTCCATCATCAGAGGTGGCATTCGCTGAAGAGGCAGGTGTCTTCGACTGCGCTGAGGATTCACCTGCAAAAGATGTTAAGAAGTAAATAGAAATAAATTATTAATGAAAAATTGTTACATTTCATACACAATATTCAAGAAAACTGAATTTCATATTTTGTAATGTACCATATTTACACGAAAATAAGTTGACTCCGAATATAAGGGCAACCCCTTAATTTTGAAGAGACCACCTGAGAATTTTTAAAATTAAGTAATACTTACTATTTAGTGAAAATAAAATTGCAAATAGTCTAAATACAAAATTGTCTCTTTCATGAAAACATTTTTTGCCTAAGATATCACTATTTTTTTGTTCCTTAAAATCTTCATAATCATGGGTTTTGATAGAATGAATATAGAAACCTAAGATTTTTAGTATTTTATTACTTATGGTTTAAGTATATGCGGTCAAAAAAGATTTTTCAGATAGGATATCTCAATAATCTACAAAAAAATGAAAAACCGACTGAGTCACTATAAAAGGTGGTGCTATTGAAACATCTGGCAAAACAATTAGGTCCTTCTCACAGCATGCCAATCGGTTTTGCAGTTTCTGTGAATTTGGTGTTAGTCATAAAAATTGACTTCGTAAAATGCAGACACATCAAGTAAACTTTCTTAAATTTAATTTCTTTGGCAGCTATCTTGATTTTGTGTAGCAGCTTGGGACAAAGAAAATCAAAAACATTAACTAATTCTTGATACCATTCCCATTCCTATTTTTAAATTTCCCTGCAACCCTTTTAAATAAACTTCAATTAGCAAACTACTAGCTACTTTTAGTAAAACAATTATTACACAAACTATTGGAGATCTGAGATGTAGTCATAAAAATAAACATTTATAACTACATAAAGATAAATACAGAATCATATAAGTTAACTAAACCATTAGCACTATGTTGGGGACCCAAACTTCCCTTAGTTTACAATAATTGCAAGATTATTACAAAGTATGTTCAGTTTAGTACTCCATTAGCACTGCTTTCCTTTGAGGGGTGCAAGGGAGTGGATCGGAAGTGTTCAGACTTTTTGAACACGTAATATTCATAAACTGTGCTGTGCAGAGTCATAAATGGTCTGAAATGTAAAGTAGCACAACATGGTGTGGTACTATGTTAAAGAATGTGCATTGCCAGAATATATAAAAATATACTTCCAATGTAGATAAATGAAATGCAGTTCAATAGAGTCCATTAATTACAATTTAGTAATTCGTACAGAATTTTCAAATGATTGACTTTTTATTGTGGGTTGAATTGCTTACAAGGAGTAAAACACACAAAAAAAGTTATGTGTGAGCTCCTTTTATTAAGAAACATTGTATCCTGACACTTAGCACCTGTGTTAAGCATTATTAAAATAAAGAATACACAAAAACAGACAAACAAACAAAACATACAAGAGAAACATTATCCAGTACTTGCCTTTTGTTTTTTTATCAAGTTTCTTATCATTCTCTTTCTGAACTTTAACTTCCTTGTCATTCCTTCCATCTTTTACAGCCTTTTCATCTCCATCAGTTTTCAAATCCCTCTCCTTCAAGTCAATGGAGGTATCTCCTTCTACTTCAGAACCACCAGGTTGTGAAGTTGTATCATGCCCTGACATATTATGTTTGCTGTCATCATCATCATACACATTCCCACCCCCAAACAGTTCCTCCTCATTCTCTAATTTCCATTCAAAGTCATCATCCCCATCACTAGAGTCACTCCCATCAGATCTATCTTTGCCTCCCTCTTCCTTCATGTTCTGCTCCAGAAGATGCTTTATATTTTCAGGTGGAAAACCTCCGTCTCCTCCTTCCGGAACAATGTCGTTGCACACTTCTATGATATTTTCCACCTGGAACACAAAATCACAAGTTGTGTATTTTATTTGTTTCTGTTATGCAATAATGATACATGCAATTGGATTACTAAGTTCTTCTAAACACATTATACAAACCAAGTCATGTACTAAATAAGATGATATCACAAAATATTAAATTAAAACCCACTTTTGTGGACGAAAATACATTGTAACTTTCCTAATTGGAGAATTAATTCAGAAATCCTGAAAAAAGTATCTAATTGCAAATAGGTACAGAATTTCTTTTTCACAGCATTTGGGTAAATAAAGCTTGATGAAATCTTGGATGTTATTAATACTAAAATAAAAATGTATTAAGTCTGTAGAATCATAAAAAATTTTACATAATTTTCCTGAAATTTTGCAACTTTATGTTCCACTATTATTTGATGGGATAGCTAACATCATTAAATTACCACAACACCTTCTTCAACAGACATCCTAAATGTGCACAACTTCTCTCAAACACACGTTTCATAATACACAGAAATAAAGTCAGGTCAACTCATTCTTAAAGAGAGTGTTGAATTTTCTGAACTATTCATTACCTTTTCTTAACTCTACTTCACAAGGCATAAATAGACAATGAATAACTGCAGTCTTTCAGTAAGAGCAATATTATATAACATCCTATTATCTTACCGTTACATCCTTGCCATGCTTTTTTAGAGCATGGATCCCAGCTCCAGACTTGGAGCCAAACCTTCGATGACAGAGTTGGCACTTGTATGGTTTGGCTCCACCATGCGAAAGTAAATGTTGCTTAACTTCACAAGGTCGGCGAAACAGACGACCACACAAAGCACATGGATGTACGTATCGACGACGACGACGTGCGTCCTTGGTGCGTATTTCAAATTTTCCACCCCCACTGCTGGGGCTGCCCTGACTGCGTTCTCCTTCACTTTGTGTCTGTGACTTTTCAGGAGAGACGGAGTCGGCCTTTGCTACGCTCGTTCCTGTTTTGTACAATATTTCATATTTATTTACAATTAGTTAATAATTTATAAACTACAATTCTACAAATGTGAAAATAAGTTATTTATTTACATAATGTTGCATATTCTTAAAAAATTGTATATTATAACTTTGTAAATTTTCTGACTTTAAGAGGTGAATATAAATTTCAAATTAATAAACATATATGTCCAAAACACCATCTGTATGTCTGTTATCATTCACATATAACAAAATTATTAAATAAATTAAACTAAATATCCTAAATTTTCTAATTTCTTAACAGACTTATGGAATTAAAAAGCACAATAGACTAAATATTTTGCAAGAAAAACGTCATATTTAACAAATAAACACTTAATATCAGTTATTAAAACATATATAAATAAAAAATAATAATTAATATGAGATACTGTTGGAAGTTCATCCAGTAGGAGTACTTTTATTAGAAACATTTACAATCTAAAAAACATATTAATCGGAGCTTAATAACCCTTCAAAATATCATCCTTTTAATAGAACTAAATCCTTTGAATTAACATTCTACCATATAATAATTTTTTATAATTATACATTTAAACATTTATTCCAATAAAATATAATAAAAATATAGCATACCTTTTTCTGAAATAGGAGAAGCAGCAGCTTTCTTTGCAGGTTGGCTCTTGCGTTTAACCTGTCTTTTCTTGGTTTCCGGGTTTTCATCTTCATCCTTCAGAAAATTATAGCATTTGAGTTTTTGTTTAAGTAAGTCACCTGCACTAAGAGGGCTGCATCCAAAACATTTATAAGTAAAAAAATGATCAGACCTACCTGACAGCTCTGGCTTTCTTCATCAGCATCATCATTTGAATCACAGGAATCCCTTAATTCTAGCTTGACACCAACATTATTTACTGGTGCAGGCAATATTCCCTCAGAAGCATCATCTGTCTGGCAAGCAACTCCTTGTGTCGTTTCTACACAAAACTCATGCTTTTCACAGTTGTTATTGAAAATTTTAAGAATCTCTTTCTTTACATTATTACATTTTTCTTCTGCTCGGTCATACTCTTGGAACTTGGTGAAACACTTCTTACAAACGAAAGTGCTCGGAAGTGCGGCTTGTTCCACATGAATTCGAAGAACTTTCTGAATAACATGGGCAAGTAAATGTCCACTATGTGGAATAACAGTGTAAAACACACTGAAACTAGATGTAACCGACAGCTCATGGGTGC